GTGTTCGCAGCGATTTTAACATAAAAACATCAAAAAACCAATGGTTTTTCAACAAAAAATTGTCAAAATCTCATCCCGCGCGCTCTTGCGGATTCGTAGGAAACCCAACACTTTTTAAACATTTCTGTCAAACGGGCTTTTGCGAGCAACTTTTTCGAACTTCTGCGACAACGGTTGCGCACCTGCCAGGGCCATCATCCCTGTCAAATAATACCATGCGGGACACATTCGTTTTTTCTTCGCGCGCGCACGCCGAAATCTCCAAAAACCATTGGGCTTCTTAAGAATTTTAGCACCGCGCATCATAAAATCACACGAATCGCACCGTAGGTCCTCGAAAAACACCTGAACGACTTTTCAAAATTTCTACCCGCGCGCGCTGTCCGAATCCTAAAAAAACCAATGGTTTCCCAACATTTATGTTACATGAGCTCGCTCGGGACAACGATCGGGACAAGCACAACCATCAGGAGAACCATCGGGACAATCATCGGGACAACGATCGGGACAACCACAACCATCAGGACAACCATCGGGACAACCATCGAGACAACCATCGGGACAACCATATCCTCTCTCTCTTGTGTATTCCCACATCCCTCAGGAATTTCCCCTAAAGATGTGATCAACTATCTTGTGAGTACGTATCATGTGTATCATGTGTATCATGTACCATATGCATCATATGCAACAGATGTTCTGTGGAAGGCTTAACAACTTCTGTGGGTTAACAAGGCTTAACAACTTCTGTGGGTGTACGAACGTAGGCTTAACAACTTCTGTGGGTGTGTACTCCACGCCAGTGTAGTAGCCACGGTCGTCCGCAGGCCACGAAGTGAAGTGTCCGAACGTCATAGGGCGGGAAGCTGGGTGTGGGTGGTGGCGAAGAGTCGTGTGGATATTTGGTAGAGCTTGCACTGCCCCCCCACAAAGTGGGGGTATTGGCTGGCGTCGCATGAAAACCCTGGCACTGGTGAGAACACTGAGCGTTCGGGTAAAGTGATTGTTGTTGTTGTTGTTGTTGTTGTTGTTGTTGTTGGTGGTGGTGGTGGTTGTTGTTGTTGTTGTTGTTGTGTTGTTGAATATTATTACTTCTAAAGAAATATTATTGTTGAGACCCCTGGTGCGCGACCCCCCTCCAAAACCTAGGCCGCAGCCTCATTTCCTTCATTTTCTAGCGAAAGCTTCAGAAAAGTGGATTGTGTCCGGATCCGGTTGTTTTGTTGTAATCCGTTTTCCCTTGCAAAAAACACTATAAAATGAAAATTCTTGTTCTTACTTGATCAAATTGCAAGAATCCCTTGCAAAAAATAAGGTAAAGTGGACATTCGTGCGCGCAAGACGAAATCCTTCCAAAACCTTAGGTTTCGTAAGCGATTTTAACATAAAAACATCAAAAACCCAATGGTTTTTTAAGAAAAAATTGTCAAAATGTCCTTCCGCGCGCGCTGTCCGAATCCCACAAAACCAATGGTTTTTCAACATTTATGTTACATGAGCTCGCGCGAGCTACTTTTTCTTGTTCTAACATAATCAAATTTCAATAATCCCTTGCAAAAAATAAGGTAAAGTGGACATTCGCGCGCGCAAGACGAAATCCTTCCAGAACCTTAGGTTTCGTAACGATTTCAACATAAAAACATCAAAAACCCAATGGTTTTTCAAAAAAAAAATGTCCAAATTTCATCCCGCGCGCGCTGTCCGACTCCCACAAAATCAATGGTTTTTCAACATTTGTGTTACATGAGCTCGCGCGAGCTACTTTTTCTTGTTCTAACATAATCAAATTTCAATAATCCCTTGCAAAAAAAAGTAAAGTGGACATTCGCGCGCGCAAGACCAACAAAAAACACGACGATCTCAGGAACTTGCCCCAAAAATGTGACCAACTCCGCTCTCTCTGTCTCTCTCTCTGTCTGCTCTCTGTCTCTCTCTCTGTCTGTCTGTGTCATGTATTGTATGTCACAATTGCAGGATGCTGGGCACACGCGCGCCCCGAATAAGTGACCAAGTTCTGTGGGTGTGTACCCCACGCCAGTGTAGTAGCCACGGTCGTCCGCACGCCACGAAGTGAAGTGTCCCAACGTCATAGGGCGGGAAGCTGGGTTTGGGTGGTCGCGAAGAGTCGTTTGGATATTTGGTAGAGCTTGAACTGCCCCCCCACGAAGTGGGGGTATTGTCTCGCGTCGCATGAAAACCCTGGCACTGGTGAGAACACTGAGCGTTCGGGTAAAATGATTGTTGTTGTTGTTGTTGTTGTTGTCGTGGTGGTGGTGGTGGTTGTTGTTGTCGTATGAGTAGTAGTAGTCGTTATCGTCGTCGTCGTAGTAGTAGCAGTTGTAGTAGAAGTAGTAATGCTTGTACTAGCGAAACTATGTCGCACGATGCTTGGGCCAAACGCCAATGCATTCGGCCGGGTCCTTCGCCAGAATAATTTAATCTCAATCTTACATCATAGGCCACGCGCGGAGCGGGGTAGGGGGAGGGGGAGGTTTCTTAGAACCACCACTGCTTCTTAGAAGGCGCGGGCCTCGTTTGTAGATGCAGGGCCAGCGGTTTCTAAGAATCAGCTTGCGTCTAAGAAGCCTCCCCCCTCCCCCAGACCCTCCCTCTGAGCGCGCCGCCAATATTAATTGTTATTGCCCGAGGGGCCGCCGCAGAGAAAGCGGGCGGGCGGGACCGCGCAGCGGCCCCAGCCCCGGGGCTGGCAGGCAGGGCAGGCGCCCGCGGGGCGCTGCCCCCCGCGCGCTGCCCCCCGCGCCCTGCCGCGGGCGCAGGGCGCTGCCGGCGGCGGCCATGCCCGCCTGGTGCCGTGCGCCGGCGGCGGCGGCGGCGGCCGCCTTGGTGGCCAGAGGAAAAGGTATCGATACCGCTACCCTGAGATTTTGGCGTCGCCATGTTTTCACAAAGGACGCTTTCGCTTAGTTGCGGGCCCCAGGACCCTCAAAAATCGATTCAATTCGAAAAATGGCGCAGGAAGATGGGGCCCAGAGCTTTGTTCGTGATCTTTTGCGAGGTTGCAGAGTTTTTTCCAACCATCCTGTGGTGTTGGGTCCTCGCTTTGAAGAGACAGCGCCCCGCGTTCCTTCTCTCCTCCTCCCCTTCCTCCCCCTCCTCCCATGCCTTGCACCCTTTACACGTTCGCGCGCTTCTCCCCCACCCAGTACAGCGCTCCGTGGCCCCATAAGGAGCTCCACCGAAGGCCCCGGTGGCGGTGTTCGCATGCACCGCAGGCCCCAGTAGCGGTGTTCGCATGCGTCTCTCCCACCCAGTACAGCGCTTCGTGGCCCCATCGGGAGTCCCGCCGAAGGCTCAACTTCAGTGGCGGTGTTCGCATGCGTCTTCCCCGCTCAGTGCAGCGTTTTCATAGTGGGCTCCATCGAAGGCCCCGTTGGCGGTGTTCGCATGTGTCCCCCCAGCCCAGTACAGCGTTTCGGCCCTCATAGGGAGCTCCATCGAAGGCCCATGTGGCGGTGTTCGTATGCGATTCGCCCGCCCGGCACAGCGTTTCGTGGCCCAAAAGGGAGCGCCACCGAAGGCGTCAGTGGCGGTGATCACGTGCGTCCGCGCCACCCAGTACAGCGTTTCGTGGCTTGTCCCTGGGGAACTCCGTCGATGGCCTCGGCGGCGGTGTCCACATACGCCCCCCCCAAGTTTTGGCATACCCTCGGACGCTTTGTGACGCCATCAGGAACTCCCCCTCCTTCGTCCCACCTGCCTCGCGGTATTAAAGTGCAGATGGTTTGGTCCTTCGCCAGGAAACTTGCGACGTCGGGTATCACGAACAGGTAATGATACGGATTATGAGTGATATTCTGATCAGAGCGCACCCCAGGAGGGGTCGGGGCAGTAGCGGGGTCGATATATTTTAGTTTCCCGAGGTGGTGCTCGCGCACGGCCAAGGCAAGCCTTGGCGGTTCAAACATGGAGTCGGATGGGCTCCCAAGGACGAGGTACATCAGCCAGCGTAGAATTCCACTTTTCGATCCGTTCTTAGGACCCCATTTTGAACCCTCAGGATTCCATGTTCGAACCACCGAAATCCAGTGCCGAAGGGTACGCCGCACCAGGGCCCAGCCGGCCGCAAGGGTCGGCATCTGGAGGAACAAACCATACTGTTTTAATATGATGTCTCGAAGGTCCGCGCGGATTCCTCGGGTCGGCGTTGGGCCCCCCTGGCGGCGCCTCGGGCGCCGCCGCCCCTTGCGCGCGGAGAGCGCCAGGGCGGGGGAGACCAGCGCCGATGCCAGAAACACGCGCGGACCTCCGAGAAATTATGTTAACGCAGTTTTTGGTTCCTCTGGGCCTCATCCCCAGGGCCTGGGGAGCGCCTGGAGCCCAGGCGTCACCATGGCAAACAGCGAGGTGTGCAAGGTGATGGCCCCCCTCTGGCAGGCCGGTAGGCGGCTGCTGGGCGGCCCGTCGCGCCGTGTGGAGAGAGGGGCCCTGACAGGAGAGGGCGTCCTGGACCTTGGGGCTTCCCAGAGGCCTCGAGTCCATTCGGCGGCAAAATCCGAACACAGATCAATCAACGAATCAATCAAAACTCGGTGGGCGGCTGGGCTAGGGTCCGGAATTCGTCGAACAGATGGCAAAATCCGAACCCTAGCCTCCGCATCCCATCGATGCAGGAGAATCGATGGTTGGCGGGGGCAGTGTTCGGATGTCGCCACCTACCATAGACGCAGGCTTCACGGATGCCAGGTTTCAGGAGGCTTCTTGGTCCAGCTGGGGAACAAATAGTGGCAGAGTCAGAAAGTTGGGGAGGTCCCTGCTGATTTATTGGATCGGCGCTGGACCCCCTGGCGCGCCTCCGGCGCCGCCACCAGCGCGCTCCGCGCGCCAGGGGGAGGTCCAGCGCCAGTCCAAGAAAGCAGCGCGAACCTCCCAACGTTTCTATGCCATTGTTCGTTTCCCGATCCAGGGCGCCTTTCCTCGGATCCCTTCTTCCCTCATGGCAGTCCTCCGCGGCCCCCCTCACGGACCAGGAGTGCTCGCTCATGCATGAGTACTACATGGGCCCTCACCTGCACCCGAATCTCAAGGATTATGGGTTCAAGGTTCCCACGGACTGCCTCGGTTATGTGGGCATCTATAAGAGCGGGTCCAGCGAGACTCTGTGCAATTTGCGAAACAACCTCGGGAAGAGGTCAAGGTGGAAGCATGGCATGGGCTCGAACTTGTTGCAGAGAATGATACAGATACACATGTTTCCCGTCCTGAACGAGTCGGACGATGCCGTGGTGGACCCGAAATCAAGCTGCGCTGTCGTGCGAATCCGCCGCCTCGCTTCGGCGGGAGCCTGTTGAAGGGACAGGGCGGGGGACGCCCTGGTGGCATGTGTCACGTATCGTTCCATTTTAATGTCTGGAGTTTGGACCATTTTTTATTCCTGGCGAAGCCTGGTGAAATTCCGAGCCTTCCGCTGGCTGACTGACCGTTTGGATTGGACACACTGATTTGGAGGGGCCTTTTTGCAACCCCCTTTTACACTGCCCGGGCGCACCCGCAACCGCAACCAGTGACTCATTTCAACCCGCTAGCGGGCGCATCCGCAACCGCAACCAAGCGACATATCTCAACCCGCCCGCGGGCGCAACCGCAACCGCAACCAAGGGAAACATTTCACCCCGCCCGCGGGCGCAACCGCAACCGCAACCAGGCGACACATGCCAACCCAGTGGCGCAACCGCAACCGCAACCAAGGGACACATTTCAACCCGCCCACGGGCACAACCGCAACCGCAACCAAACGACACACTTCAACACGCCCGCGGGCGCAACCGCAACCGCAACCACACCCAGGCGACACATTCCCACACGCCCGCAGTCGCAACCGCAACCGCAACCAGGCGACGCATTTCAACCCGCCCGGTGGCGCAACCACATCCGCAACCAGACGACATTTTTCAACACGCCCGTGGGCGCAACCCGAACCGCAACCGCAACCCGGCGACACATTTCAACTCGCCCGCGGGCGCAAGCGCAACCGCAACCGGGCATCACATTTTACACCGCCCGTGGGCGCAAGCGCATCCGCATCAAAACGGCACAGTTCAACCCGCCCGCGGGCGCAGCCGCAACCGCAACCGGCGACATTTTTCAACCCGCCCGCGGGCGCCACCGCAATTGCATCCAAACGACACATTGCAACCCGTCCGCGGTCGCAGTCGCAACCGCAACCGGGCGACACATTTCAACCCGCCCGCTAGCGCAACCCCAACCGCAACCGCAACCAGGCGACACATTGCCACCCGCCTGCGGGCGCCACCGCAACCGCAACCAACGGACACATTGCAACCCGTCCGCAGGCGCAATCGCAAACGCACCCAAACGAAACATTTCAACCAGCCCGCAGTCGCATCCGCGACCGGAACCAGGCGAAATATTTCATGCTAAAGTGAGCTGGGACAATGGCGAGAGATAGCGAGCGTTTGTCCGCGGCCGTTTGTGTTCAAGTGGCCGGCCGCCAACATATGATTGCGCTTCATTGCGAGGCATGCTACTGGCCATCGAGACCGAAAACATTCTTCGCTTGAGATGTCCCGTCGTTCCCGCGACGACCCCCTCCGACTGGACTATCGCTACTACGGCACATAAGAGCTGGAGCTGCGCTTCGCCGACGGCGAAGCTTCTAGACAGGTCTGGCGGCCCCCGTCAAACTTGGTAGCGGAGCTCGCCTATGGTGGTCAGATCTCGCCCTACTCCTCGTTATCCACGGCGCCATCTGGTGGACTACTAACATGGTGGAACATCAGGGTGCAGTGGGTCTGCGCGGAGGAATGTACATAATTACGAACAACCGCGAGGCAACTTGCAGTGCTACCTCTGCTCTCGCGGAGGCCTCTTGCTCGAGTCCTACATCCCTGCGCTACAGCGCTCCTGACGTCCACCCACCCACTCCAATTTGAAGCTGCGAAGATGTCATACATGGCAACGTGCGGCGCGATATTGCGTCGCCTCCACCCCAACGCAGGCCCGCGACAAAACACCGCAAACCGCAGTCGCCAACATCCGACTACGACCTACGGGGCCATTGGATGTGCATCACTATCTTTGGTCTTACGTGGGTTGCTATCGGGCGTGGTGTGGGACACATGCGCGGCGGAGACGACGCAAGAACAACCTGCCCCCAGTGGGGCCCGGCCGGTCGAGTACTTTTTTTCCGTCAGTTTGTTCGAGAGGCACCTGCCTGGAAAAACGTGACCACAGGTGCTATGACGCCTTCCCAACGGGCTGCAGCACTGCAGCGTGGTCTGGGAGGCCTCGCGCGGACCATAGCCATGAGATATTCCCTGGCAGTTGTTAATTTTGGCGTCAACATAGGTGGCCGTCATACTGATGGCGCTACCTGCTTCATGTTCCCCTTTAGCACGAAGTTCGAGAACTTAGAGGAGGAACGCCATCTCAACTCGGGCACAGCTCTCATCGGCTTCCGAACCCATGCGGGAGAACGGATCGACCAGACATTGGCGCGGTTCGAGATAGCCCGCTACGAGGCTGAAGCGGCAGGCTTCAACATCCCAACTTCCAAAAAACTGAACGGTTATTCTGTTCAGAGCCTCAGGGGCGGGGACGTCGCGCGCGCAACAACTCCCACAGCCACTCAACCACCAAATGCCGAGATGTCAACAGCACTTTGATTCTCTGCTTGAGCGCGCGAGGTTATGTGCTGATGTCGCTGAGCGAACACCCGGCAATATTTGCGGCATTTTCAGCCACGGACACCGCGGCGCAACGTTTCATGGCGACGCCAATGCAGGGCAACCTGCTGCAAGGGTCTGGAATGGCGATCCGCGACCGACGGAGGCCACCGCGCGATTAGCTCAAAATGGTGGCCCGGCTACGGGGTCGCAAGACCCCGGGCCAGATATCAGGGGCCGTCGGCAACGGCGCCCCTTGCGCATTCCATTGCCCTTGTAGGCTCAACGGGGCAACCCGTTGAGTCTAACTTCGACTCCGGGACCGACGCCGACGCATCGTCAGACGACGAAGCGAATGCCCTAGACTACTCCGACATGCCCGCGTATTCTACGGAAGAACAACAGGCTCACTGGCTGTTTTTCTAGGATATTAGAAGCATAGGCGCAGATGGAGACGGCTTATGAAGAAGCAAATTCGCGAGGTACGACGTACTATCCGACGGGCACTTAGGGGGAAGGGTGAGGGTCGAGGAAAGGGCAAGGGCAAACGGCGGCGATTGCATGGCAGAAGTATGTTAGCGTTCCTGGCACCCCTTACTGGACCACAGGATGAAGAACGATTCCTGAGTGCCGGCAGGGGTCGCAGGCGCACTTCAGGACAGGGTAGGGGACGCCGGGGCAACCCGAAAGACGCTAACGGTAAAACAATGGAACGCGACATGGCACACAACATTTCCGCCGCGAGTGCCCCCGAGGCGATGGGGGAGGCAGAGGTCCGTCGATGCATTTGGCTCACACCGATTCGGATATTTAGCATGTTGAATGGGAGACGCTATTGGCCGACCATGCCGAAAATCCACATGCATTTGTCAACTTCGTGGATGCCAGATACTTAAGTGCCAGTGTGTCCCTCAAGAATTGCGCCGACGAGCTCTTCGAGGAGATATACGTTGGCCATGCTGGGATCAACCTGGCAGACTGGCTAGGCATACCCATCGCGGGGCAACCCGCACACATCGAGTTTGTTGAGGATTTCATCTGCCCGCCGAGGTAGATCAAGGTATGGCGGGGGCGCCCGTGGATTCTGTCGCCACAATTCCAACGGCAGAAAACATGCAAATGATGCTTCATCCTCAGGCCATTGGCAATCCGACAAACATGGAATCCTATGACGGTGATCGTTCGCGGGGAAGCCCGCGAGAAGCTGGCGACCTTTCAGGGCGCATCCAGTGCGAAGCTGGACATAAGCAAGATCGTTCGCGGCTATCGTTCGCTGCTACGAGCGGTTTCCGAGCCGCGAGGGGCGATTCGCCAGCCGCCAAGTCTGGAGACGAGCGAACCGCTCAGGCGATGGCGAAGACGAGCGGGGAGCTGAGGACCGGCGCATGCGGCGCCACGGTCGCGTCCGCAGCTACTCACGCGGGCGCTTGCGCGCGCGCTCCAGCGGCGCTCGCCCCAGCGGCGACAGGCGCCCTCGCCCCCCTGATACACGTGGCCTGGGGGCCCCGCCGAGGAGGGATTGCACGCCCAGGGCCCCGCCGAGGAGGGGGCGCTTGCGGGGAACCCCGCCTCCGCAGGAGGAACCTCCAGCCGCGCCCCAGGCAGGCGGCGCACCGCGCCTCGTCAGCTATGATGATCGTGGACTAGCTCGCCAGCGTGCACCCCCCCAATGCAATGCAAAATTGGCTCGACCAAGGCTGGGCCGTGCACCGCATTCGCCACTGGCATTCACATTGCAATATTGAGCGGAATGATAATGGCATGATAGCCCGCGCCAAAAGAGGCGCGGGCACCGAGGCGCCGGAGACCCCTCAGAAACGGGACGTCAAGAGGGCCATCATCAACGACCGGAAAGGATGCCAAGGTTTTGTCTGCACTTGTTGTCATTATGCCCACCACAGACCTGGTTGCCCGATGAGGCGTCCGTCAAGGAGAACTAACATCAAAAGAACACATTGGGTCTGGCCCCATTGTGGTGGTCGGGGTCACGCTGTAGATCCGACCAAGCATCCACCTGAAGAACAGTTGACGGAAGATGACTACCAGCCGGTGGATGAGCATGAAAGGGTTCGCACCGAAGAGATGCTTCGTCCAAACCAAAGGTGCCGACCAGCCAGAAGGTGATGAGGGGGCTGGTAACCTGATCCTTGCCGGGGCAGCGGGCCCCACCGCGGCTGCCCCCTCAGGGTCTGGCTCGGACTACTCTGGCACGGCCTGCACCTCTGACGCGGACTACACCCACGACGCCGACGCAATCATCGATGTTTGTGGCAGGGTTACAGAGGACATGAACTTCGCCCAGGGCAGGATAGTCGCCTTCCACGGTCCAGGGGTAGGTTGGATAAAGACCCTCATTGCAAAAAGGGTTGCGGCATATATGCGTGATTTGGCTTGCAAAGGTAGGGTCAATATCAAGAACATGGTACTTAGAAAGCCTGGCGCGCCGGAGGTCCCGAATGCCGGGAGTGAGACCAGCTACTTGTCTGCTGGGACACCCGCAGCGGCAAAGCCAAAGGGGCCTCTTCCCAAGTTGAAGCGAGATATGGAAATACATCCACCCCCATCTTCGCACTCTTCAAACCAGCGCAAATCGCTCGAACCCGATCAGCTTGCGCTACC